AATTCCCAAATTTTGCAATATCTATGAGCTCTAAAAGTGCTCTTACTCTGTTTCTATTTCCTCAAGTGTAAACAGAGGTGATGCTACACAGCTCATAAAGTGATTAAGAGTAAAGAAGGTATTGTTTGTAGAAGTGCCTCGTGCATGGGGCAAGGTTGGGGAAATGAGTCTTGTTCTTGACTTTTGCTTAACTCCTCTCTGCTCTCCTCAAATGTTCAGACACATTTCAATATTATTGACACATTTGAGGGAAAAAGCTTTAAGTGATTAAAAGTAGAATAATATTTAAACACAACCCAGGATATAACCACATTGGAAATAAATGCCATAATTGGCACTTAGCAGAGATGCTGAGGAGAGACACTGCTGCATCCTCATTAGCACGAATGCACATGTGGATATCAAATTAAGGGTCCAGTTATGCCAATGGTCATTGTTCCTTAGGAGTAGCTCTCACAGCCATGGCTGACATACCTTTCAGGAAACTGTCTATGATCTGTCCATAGGTTACTCTAGCAAACCATAACTAATGGTCATGCATAAGAGGACAAAAGAAGGAAGCAGGGAGATGCTAAATATGATGGCCTTGACATCATAAAGAACAGAAAGCCATCTCCCCCTGACTAATTTTCAGTCAGTCTCCTGTGCAAAACCAAGGACAAATAGCAATTATTCACATTTCTTTAGCATAGTAGTTCTCAACATTCTCAGTCCCAGCTCAGTACATATTTTGTGTTGGCCCTTTCACTATTCTGAAATTTATTTCATAGATAAAGCAGTTTATCTACAAGTGTAATTTCAAAAACACCCCTATAGTGCTTGAAGCGTACTATAAAGACAATGAAGAGAAAGGTGATTTATAATTAATGTGTTTCAGTATGTATATGTGTATGTACAACTAAAGAGAATAATAAAGTAGTCAAATGCTTACACATACTTAAAATTTGTAAATTTGAAATTAAGATAATCAACTAGTATCAGTCTAGTTAAATTTTTCACATGCTTAAGAGTAATACAAATACATATGTATGTATTTATGCATGTATGTAAATGCATAGATAGGTGTAGATATATAATATATAGATATGAATATGTGTGTATATATAAATAAGTTCATAAATCACTGAATACTAGTTACAAAAATTGAAACAGATGTGTTACATTTGTGACTCAGATACCACAAGAAGCATCAATGATGTAAATTACAAAATTATAAATAATCCTTGGAAAAGTTCTGAACAAAACTAAAATTCTGTATTCTTCCCATTTACATGGGAATTTTCATCTGGAAAATTCAGTGCACCTTATAACCATGCAAAAGCTCCTTGCTGTTTATATGTTAAACCAAGTAAGGATCTATGCTTGGATTATTATAAATAAGTTCATCACTTATCAGAATGTCTAGCTTCTCAAATTGAAATATCCTTCACTTTAGAAAATTTACTTGAGGTAGGACAATTCATCATACAGGGCATCTGCCCATTGCAAGATGTATAGCATCTCTGATTCCCACCAATGGAATGCTCCCTAAACCAAAAGCATTTGTTTTAGTCCATTCTCACTCTGCTAAAAAGGACATACCCCAAACTGAGTAATTTATAAAGGAAAGAGGTTTAATGGACTAACAGTTCCACATGGCTAGGGAGGTCTCAAAATCATGGTGGAAGGCAAAGGAGAAGCAACAGCAAGTCTTACATGCCAGCAGGCAAGAGAGGGCATGTACAGGGGAACTCCCCTTTATGAAACCATTGGATCTCATGAGATCTATTCACCATCACAAGAACAGTGTGATCATGGGAAAAACCAGCCCCCATGATTCAATTACCTTCGACGAGGTCCCTCCCATGAAACCTGGGGATTATTACAATTCAAGGTGAGATTTGGGTTGGCACACAGAAAAGCCAAACCATATCAGCATTGTAACCATCGCTATCAGTGCTGCACAGGTGGAATTCCTCAAATTTTGTATGGTCAGTTTATAAAATGGCTTGCTCTCAAGTGATATTGTCTCACTGGATCATCACAATGGGAGATACAATTATTTTCATCTTTTGCCAATAAGGAAAAATGGTGTTGACCTATATATACTGTACTTAATTTGGATTTGCCCCTATGCTCACATTTTATGTGAACATCAAGGTTGGGGAGGAAGAAATGAGTAGGTAGAGAACAGATGATGCTTAGGGCAGCAAAACTACTCTGTGTGATACTATAATAGTGGATACATGCCATTATACATTTTCTAAACCCATAGAAGGTACAACACCAAGAATCAACCCTAATGTAAGCTATGGATTTGGGTTGATTATAATGCATCAATGCAGGTTCATCAATTGTAGCAAATGTACTACTCTAGTGAGGCATGTTAATAACTGGGGAGTCTGTAGTTTTGTGGAGCAGGGGAGATAGGGAAAATCTCTCTACCTTCCTCTCAATTTTGCTGTGAACCTAAAACTCCTCTAAAAAATAGTCTATTTAGAAAAGGAAGAAGGTTTGTTTCCATCAGTGTGGGAGTCTTTTCAGACTGTGTTGAGGGACTATATTAAGGGCTGCAGAGTCAGCATTGCAGAGGTTAGGGTTTGCTGACTCACAGAGCAGGGATGGAGTGCTCTGTCCAGCTATGACTTCTGGCTTTTCCTCATTTGGTCTCTTCGTTTTTGCTTACCTGCTGGAAATGATTGGGGCTGCTCTGAGTTTACTGGGGTGGTTTTAGGGCAAAAAATGACTTGATCGCAAGATGTCTTGAGCTAATAAAATGAATTACACTAGTTGATACAATCTAAGTGCTTGGAATAGTGCCTCACACACAGAAAGTCCATAAAGTTAGCTTAATAAATGTTAGCTATTACTATTGAAACATTTGAGTAAGACATAGCTCTGTGACAGTGGTGTTGGAGACAGTGATAAATGGTTTTCTTGTGTGATCAAATTTAGTCTCAACATCTTTGTTTTGATTACCTACTATTTACAAGTCTCTGTACTGGGACATCCTTCGAATAGAATCTAGTCTTTGTCCTGAGGGGCCTTATTAGTGGTGTTGGGTAGAAGAGCTGAGGTTAGGAAGAATGAACAACAATAAAACATGTAGAAATATAAATGTCTTGAGAGGCAGAAACACAATATATTAGAACTTCCAGCTTCTGCTAGAAGGAGGGATCAAAAACAGGAAGAAATAACATTAATCTAGAAATAAAAGTTGAGGTGACTCTGAATGATGGTATTTGAAAGTGAAATTGGAAGAGAGACCAGAAGGATTAAGAATCACAAGAGGAAATTGAAGCATCAACAATACCACCAGGAGGTTTTGGGAACACATTCACCACTGGAATTAGAAATAGAGTCGCTGTTCCTAAACCTGCTAAACATGAGGATCACCCAGGGAGTTTTAAAAATAGATATTCCTAGGACCCAGCCAGACTTACTGAATCAGAACCTCCAAGGGTAGGTCTAGAAACTTGTATTCTTTTATAAACTTCTCAAAGAAATTGTGCTGATCAACCTAGTGTGGTCCTTAGACCACCAGCGGCAGCTCCTGTGTACCAGGCTCTCAGACCTACTGCATCAGAAGCTCCAGGGATGGAGACCAGCAAACTGTTTTAACAAGCCCTGCAGGTGACTCTGAAGCACATTAAGTTTGAGAACCGCTGGACAAATGCAGAGTAGAAAAATGCCTGTCATCAGTTGTCATCTTGGCAGTAAGGGAGTTAATGACTAAATAGGTGACAGGAAAGTGGAGATGAGATATTGACACAACCTTTTACTATTTTTTTCTTTCCCTTTGGCCCAAGAAATTTATAGTGAAGAGTACAGAAAAAAATAAAATGGAATTCTTCATTTCCATTTAAATTATTATAGTAACAATAACATTAACAATGCTAGCTACTTCCAGTATATTTTTCTCAAAGTCTCACAACAACCTGAGAGCGAGGTTGATATTATCTCTAGTCTACCCATGAAAAAACAGTCTCAGCTTCTAAATAATTTGCCCAAGGTCACACAGTTAATAAGTAGCTGACCCGAGATGTAGATCTAAGGGTTTTTCACACTATGCTGAGCCACCTCTCCTCTGATCTTTCTCTGATCAGGACAGTAGACTTGGCAGGGAATTCAGAGACAAATGCCAATCTCCTAATTTTGGCCCCTGAAATCTAAGGCCTAGACGTGTAAACTGAATTACCCCAAATTACTGGGCAGCTGGGTGGCAGAGATGGCATTAGAAGCCAGAGAGAGTGTCTGTATTCCAGCCTAGGGCACTTCCCCATATGCCATGTTGAAGTTTATTCTCCAACTGCTGGGACACTTGTTACATAATGTTTAAATTTATGTAGGAATGTGACTAATCCACATTTTTTGGTATTTGATCAGATGTAGAATATAAATGAGGCAGGCATGTAATTGAAAAACTCAAGAAATGGGAAGGCTGAGGAACCCTGTGATACAGAACAACAATGAAATGCAGGCTGCATGAATATTTTTCAAGCTGTTATGGCTAAGAACTACAGTTTACTACCTCTGCTGAGATCAGTTCATATTACAGCTAAACAATTACACAGTTATGTGGCATCTACGTCTGACTGAGTACAGGATTTAGTAATTACTAATCTTTCCAACTAATACCTTCATGTGTGACTCAAGCAAAAATTAAATATTTGCTGTATTCCTACCTGTCTCCAAACAACTGTCTGAGTTGTTCAGCAAAGCAGTGATCAAAGCAATCTGTTCATCATTTCAGTTTTTCTCTTATAAAAAGTCATTATTTAAAGTTTGGGTTTTTTTTTTTTTTTTTTTTTTTTGCTATAGAAAAGATAGCAAAGACAGCAATGAATAGAATTTCCTTTCTTAAACACCTGTCATTTGAAGAAGCACAAAGACCACAGAAGGAAAATACACATTTTTAGTCACAGTTTTGTGTCCTTTTAATTATAATTATCTCAGAGCACTGGTATGAAAATATAGAACATTTTGCTAAAATAGATGAAACAGATCTTCTAAATGATGCTACTAAAATCTCTTTAATTTAATATATTATTATGTCTAGCTAGTTTTAAATGTCAGACAATAATCACCAAAACTTGAAAATGTTGTAATATTTAGGCTGCCTTCAACCTGAAATTTTAAAAGGCTAACAAGTGAGAATGATAAGATTATCAAAACAAATTTACAGACTTCAAGTTGAAACCCTTATGGGGCAGATAATTTGCTGCATCATGGATCCATCATGTTCATGTTTCAGCTGGCATTGCTGGTAGCCTATGCAATACCTATTCCCCAATACCACCTCCTTTCTGTGCTTGCTTCTTCCAATGAGAATATTGTCTTTTTTTCAGGTGTGCTTCCTCCTGGGTACGGCCACATTGCAGAGGGTAGGTCTTGATTGGTGTCAGCTAATCACATCAGTCTTACTCAACTTGCCAATAAACTGGCTGCAGATCTGCTCAGGTAAAAGGAGTCTGGCCTTGAAACATGAGGGCAAGGCTGTTGGGAGGATTTCTGGAAAAGGTATCTCCAATCTTTGAAAAGACAAAAGAGATGGCTCATTTTTGCTTCTGGGTGTGGGACTATGAGGAAAGTCAGTCCAAGGAAAAGTGACCCTGTGGAGAAGAACAGAAGTTAGAGAGTTATGAGGAACAGAACTTGGCCCTGATCCTTCTGTACCCAGAGACACCCAGTCTTTGTACTTCCTGTTTAGTGACAAAGTAGATTTTCTTATTGTCCAAAACACTGGTTTTCAAAGTTTAGCATTCACCAGAATGACCTGGAGGGCTGGTCAAATCACAGATCACTGGGCTCCACCCACAGAGCTTCTGATTCAGGGTATATCCAGGGTAGAAGTTGGAGAATTTGCATTTCTAACAAGATCTGAGGTGATGCTGATGTTGCTGGTCCAGGGCTCATACTTTGATACTCACTGGTCCACAAATCAATTGAGTCAAGTTTCACTTACTTGCAACTGAAAACACCCTAATTTATATGCCTAGGTGCTGAGAAACACATAAAGACATAAAGGCTACTGCCTTCCAGGAAATTTGAAGCCTGATTTATGTTAAGTAAGAAACATTCTAGCCTGCCTTTCCTCTCCATTAATGATGACACTCCATGAAAACACGTTGATCAACCTTGAAATGTAATATATTTCTAGAGTAAAGAACACAGGAGTTGGAGTCAGTCTTCGATTTGGATGAGAGCTTTACAACTCTGACTTTACCTGTGAATTACTTGGATTATCCACGTTTTCTGTTTATAAATGAAAATTAAGACCTTATTCTATAGGCCTGCTGGGAGAATTAAATGAAATAGCATGCAAAATGTTTCTAACATAGCGCCTGATATACAGTAGGTGCTCAGAACACATATCCCATTTTTATTTTTCTAACTTCCTGCCTGAAATGTATATAGGGTAAAAATAAATAAGAAAGTCCTTATTATCTGAAACTTTTCTTTATCTAAAATCCTGTACTTACAAGATTTTTACGTAGAAACAAAAGTCTTCCTAATGCAAAAATATTTACTAATGAACTGCCTACTTACAATACTAGTACGCATTTAAACATTCTTCCCTCTTAAAAGGTAGTATCTATTTCTGTACATCTGTTATAATATTTCTGGATGAGTCTCTACCAGTTAGTAAAGTGTAAACATTTCATAGTAAACCTGATTGCAAATTGAGGTTGCAAATGTTGCACATGGTACAAGATTTCATGAAGTTAATTAAAGTGCTGTCAGAAAATTCATCATATCCCACTCAATGTCACTGACAAATGAGGGTCTGGCAGAAATAGACCAGTGAAAATTTCAAAGTAAAACATCTGGAATTTTGATGCTAGGATCAGCCTTTAAGAGAATGAAGGCTTAAGAGAAGCTCATAGTAAGTGATGCATATTTTCAAAGATCCTTTCCATGATCACATAGAAAAAGACAAATAGAAACAAAGAATGCTTTATTAAATCATATTCTCATTTAAATGTCATCAAATTAAATAATTGGCACTTAATTCATTCTTGGGAAAAAATCTAATAATTGATATTATAACCTAAATTATGTTAAATATGAAATAAAATATGTTTTCACAATTTGGTATTTTTCATGGTAAAATTCCACTCAAAACTTCCCCCTTACCATAAAAAACTTGGTCTCTGCTTTAAGTAGATTTGCTTCAAACTATTGAGGGAAACAGGTATCAAGAGTGTAACATTATGTTGTTTTATACAATACCTAAATCCTGTTCAGGAGAAACTTCCAGTTTCCTCCCAATATCTAGTCTTTTTTTCTTCAATAGTAACAGAAACCTGAGTTTTAGCTGGGTCTGTGTTGTCCAGATAATAGCTAAATTTTTGGTCTTCTTTGAATTTATAGTCTGATGTAATAAAAGTGTTTTGTGAGAGTTCTAGTAGAGCTACATAAAAATTGAGGGATGGTGCGTTTTTCTTTCTTTCCTTCTTCCTGCCGTCCTGGAATAGGCAGGAGCTCTAGCAGCCATCTTGGATCATGAGGGGAAAACCACATACTGAGGATGGTGAAAAGGAAAGGTAGACATCTGCAGGCTTGTCATCAACATGGAACTTTCATATCACTTCCCAAATGCCTATTTTTTTTTTTGAGAAGGAGTTTTGCTCTTGTTACCCAGGCTGGAGTGCAATGGCGTGATCTCAGCTCACCGCAACCTCTGCCTCCTGGGTTCAGGCAATTCTCCTGCCTCAGCCTCCTGAGTAGCTGGGATTACAGCTGGGATTACGCGCCACCATGCCCAGCTAATTTTTTGTATTTTTAGTAGAGACGGGGGTTTCACCATATTGACCAGGATGGTCTTGATCTCTTGACCTCGTGATCCACCTGCCTCGGCCTCCCAAAGTGCTGGGATTACAGGCTTGAGCCACCGCGCCTGGCCCCAAATGCCTATTTTTGGATTTTGTTATATGACATAATTATTCTATGAAAACTCCTGTTATTTGGGGATTTTTGGGTATATACAACACAATTTTATCTCATATACCCTTTAAGTTTTGCTGAAAATATATTACTAGTTTTTGAAGTGCATGTTCACTCATTGCTTTGAACTGTTAGGGTAGGGGAAGTAGAGTAGTGATGTGTGAGGGTGGGGGTGGAAAAGTCTCAGGTTTGATTCTAGTAGACTTGCAAAAAGCAAGAGAGTCATATTTAGTCATCTTATTTAGCTTTGAGTACAAATGTACTCAGTAGGCTGTTTTTGTAGATTATTTGGATTGTGTGCATCTTATTTTGTTATCTTGAGTCCACAATGTTTGATTAAGAAGAGCCTTTGTGATTATCCAATATCTGTCTACTTCAGGAATCTTCTCTACAACATCCCTGCTGCATGGCCATCTACCCTCTGCTAAAAGACATTGGTAAGAAAATATTTAAGGTGTAAGACACCCATTCAACTGATAGGAAGGACTTCCTTGTGCTGATGCTGAACCTGCCTATTCAAAACTTCCACTAGGTTATGGTTCTACAGAGCTGAACTTCCTCTTAATAGCTCCCGTGGCTCTTTAAGAAAGCTGTAATAGTATGTTGCCTTAAGGCCTTCTCAGCTTTAGGCTAACCACTCCCAGTTCTTTCGATTCTTCTCCTTTTCAGGTAGTTCCTAGATCTTCCAGTTGCTCATTGGCACATTTTAGATTGTCAACAGTTTTCCTGGCTAAAACCCATTTTGCTATTCTGTGTCTCACAAAGAGCAGAGGCACATCATCTGCTATCATTACACTTTAATAGTCGATGCCTACAATCTCTGCCCTCTGCAACCTTCTCTTCTTTCAAAACAGAAATTTACTGATTTGCCTCCTAGTTCCTTAATGCCCATTAAAAACATATAATCTTTTTCAAATAGGAGGCACAGAAACACCCTCCAAAATAAGAACAAACAAGCAAACACACAATAACTTGGTAGAGAGAACAGTATTTTGAAATATATATGTGCCATTCCAAAGTATTTAAGCCCCCAAAACTAAAATGAATTAAGACATACGTGAATAGATCATGCCCAAGTTTCTCCTGAACACACACACACACACACACACACACACACGCGCGCGCGCGCGCGCACATGCGCAAACACACACGCAGCAGCTAGTAAAGACTTTTGCAACTTGCGGTGTTTTCCGATTGTCTAAATAGAAAAAGCTATGAACAGCTCCAGGCTCTCTTATCTCTCTCGCAGACATCTGCCTCCTCTTGGTCCTGGGATTAAATCTTCTCTTGATCACGATCTTACCCTTCAGCTATTCAGTTCCCCATTGACAATGTAAATGTCACTTTGAAATAACTATCCCTGCGACTTACTTTGAGGACGCTTGAAAAAGTAGTGCTTTCGCCGAAGTTGATGTTGGGTTATATTATTGCATGTAAAACTGAATGTGGTCAGTGGGCAAGTTCTGCTTTTTAAGGGTTTTCTAGTTCACCTTTCAGGAAGATTTTATGCCAAAAGAAAATAAAAAGTAACTGACCCTGACTTGGGCCACTACTCCTTTTCTCATTATTATAAAATCCATATTATATCAGGAGGCTAATAGAGCATAGGTAGTGGGTTTTTAACTTAAAAATAAGTTTAAAAAAATGTTGTACATTTTACCAAAATGTTTGTTGCAGACTGGTGTGGAGTGGAGATTTCCTGATTCTCAGAAGGCCTTGCCTGTTTCCCCATCTTTTATCAGCTCTCACAACCCTCTCTTAATAACAAGCCTTGGCTGGGCATGGAGGCTCATGCCTGTAATCAGCATTTTGAAAGGCCAAGGCAAATGAATGACATGAGGTCAGGAGTTTGAGAGCAACCTGACCAACATAGCAAAACCCTTTCTCTATTAAAAATGCAAAATTAGGGCCAGGTGAGGTGGCTCATGCCTGTGATACCAGTACTTTGAAAGGCCAAGGCAGGTGGATCACAAAGTCAGGAGTTCAAGACCAGCCTGGCCAACATGGTGAAACCCCAACTCTCTCTACTAAAAATACAAAAATTAGCCAATGTGGTGGCAGGTACCTGTAATCCCAGGTACTTGGGAGGCTGAGGCAAGGAAAATCGCTTGAACCTAGGAGGTGAAGGTTGCAGTGAGCCAAGATCGCGCCACTGCACTCCAGCCTGGGTGACAGAACGAACCTCCATCTTGAGGAACAAAAAACAAAACAAAAATAAAAAATTAGCTGGGCATGGTGGTACGTGCCTGTAATCCCAGCTCTGGAGGCTGAGGCAGCAGAATCGCTTGGACCTGGGAGGGGGAGTTTGAAGTAAGCCGAGATCGCGCCACTGTACTGCAGCCTGGGCAACAAGAGTGAAACTCCATCTCAGAAAAAAAGACTTAGTACACCCTCTTTTTTTTGTTGACACTACCATGGTCCCCATGTGTCCTATGGTATTTTTACAGCATCGCTGACAAGTCTATAAGAAAATGATCAGTAATCTTCAGAGACAGGAGTCCTAAGTGCTACCACGTGCCCTGGGTTATCTCAACAGTGCTCAGAGCTAAATTTATCTGCTGTGCCATCTGTCATAGTTGACTCCCTCCTCATTCTACAATCTTGCTTGTCTTTCTATAGTCTTACCTTATATATTGTAAGATTTCTCCACATCTTACTTGGAAAC